CACCTCCTGAGTTCAAGTGATTCTCCTTCCTGAGCCTCCCGAGTAGCTGAGATTACAGGCACCCCACACACACCTAGATAATTTTTGTATTTTTAGTAGAGACAAGGTTTCACCATCTTGGCCAGGCTGGTGTCAAACTCCTGACCTCATGATCCACCCTCCTCAGCCTCACAAAGTGCTGGGATTACAGGTGTGCGCCATCGTTATTTTTATTTTTTTTGAGACAGAGTTTCACTCTTGTTGCCCAGGCTGGAGTGCAATGGTGCAATCTTGGCTCACTGCAACTGCTGCTTCCTGGGTTCAAGCAATTCTCCTGCCTCAGCCTCCCTAGTAGCTGGGATTACAGGCATGCACCACCACGCCCGGCTAATTTTGTATTTTTAATAGAGACAGGTTTCTCCATGTTGGTCAGGCTGGTCTCAAACTCCTGACCTCAGGTGCTCCACCCGCCTCAGCCTCCCAAAGTGCTGGAATTACAGGCGTGAGCCACCATGCCCAGCTATAGAAGCTATTTTTACTTCTGGATACTTTTATTATCTGATTTTTAAATAATGCACACATACTACTTTGCTAGTTAGAACCAACAGTAGTAGTATTTTCATTTTGAAAAATCTCTACGTATAAAGGGTACAGTCAAAGAGTTTTGAAGTAGAAGGAAAAGTAGAAGATTCCCTAATCCAGGTCCCCGGCCCCTCCAATCCTCCGCTACAGCCAGTGCTAGAATCCATTCTGAGGGTTTTTTGCAGACTTATTTACTAGGGAACACCCAGACTTAATTAATAGGGAACATACGGCTTTTGAAGTGTAACAATATAATTCTGATGGCAGCAGAATTGCATTTAGGAAAAGAATATGGTATACTTTGTAGCACTCTTGATATGGCAAGACCCCAAGAGCATGGATTACACCCATGCTAAAGTGCTATGTATGGGACTAGGAGAATAATATGTGTTCTTTTGAAAATATTTTTTCACCAACCACTATTTATGTTGGTGCAAAAGCAATTGTGTTTTTTGCCATTGAAAGTGATGACAAAAACTGCAATTACTTTTGTACCAGCCTAAAGTGGGAACAAGGTGTGCAGAAGAAGATGAGTGAAGTGCGCAATTAGGAAGGTGGAGAGAGGCTCCACTGCCACCATCTCTGAGTGAGGCTGATGGAAGTCCTTCCACCTAGTGCTCCCCAAGACTGTGCTTCGTTTCGTTTTGTTTTTTTCCTTCAATGTTAACAGCTCTTTGTTTCCTTTGTTCTCTCCCACTCTAATGCTTTTTGTGAAAATCAGAATTGGAAATGTTTTACATCTGGATTGATGTGCTGCAAAATGGACATGGCACAATTGAAATCAGGTACCTGGAATCAGCATTAAACATAAGAAAATAACTTGCCAAACTCTTGGGGACAGCTCTGAAGGACTTTCATCTTGTGAAAACTGAGGGGTAGGCTGGGTGGGGAGGCTCACGCCTGTAATCCCAACACTTTGGGAGGCCGGGGGAGGAGGGGGGCGGATCCTTGAGATCAGGAGTTCAAGACCATCCTGACCAACATGGTGAAATCCCATCTCTACTAAAAATACAAAAATTAGCTGGGCACTTGTAATCCCAGCTACACGGGAGGCTGAGGCAGGAGAATCACTTCAACTGAGGAGGTGGAGGTTGCAGTGAGCCAAGATCATGCCACTGCACACTAGCCTGGACCACAGAGCAAGATTCCATAGGAGAGGAGAGGGGAGGGGAGGGAAGAAGAGGAGAGGGGAGAGGAAAAGAGGGGAGAGGAGGAGAGGGGAGAGGAAAAAAGGGGAGGGAGGGAAGGGGGGAAACTGAGGGATAAGGGTGAGCCAATCTTACTCAAGCGTCAATGGCCAGAGGCCCCGGGTGACATGTGGGTCATAGAAGGCAGACCCCCTCATTGTTTCACAGCTCTGCTTCTTCCTCCCATCAACTCAAAATCGGCTTCTGTACATCTCCATTTTTTTGGTCCTACAGCACAGAGTCAGTTTAATCCCTTTTCCAAATGAAAGATAAAAGAAGGATGAAACTCTCGAAATATTAAACCAAACTAATTTTCATTCCCCTTAAGTGGTGGTGTCCTATGACCCCTCACTCGTTGAATCAATGGGTTTCACTACTTCAGGGGAAGGCTGAATACCTAACTAGAACAAAGTCATTACTCAGCTTACAATGTCAAACTTAATTTCTTAAGTTCACAGCAAGATCATTCCAAGCTTTTTTCAGAGAAAAAAGGGTTTTGCTAAAATTAAAAAAATTTTCTTTTGCAATGTTTTAAGAGCAAAGTTCCGGGGTCTGAGCACAGAGCTTCACTAGAAGGCTGTGGTATTCCTGTGGTGTGTGTATCCCTGGAAGTACACGAAGACTTCCTCAGGACTCCTTGGGCACTGATCATTTTTTTTTAAAGTTTTTGACATTTTGACATTGTCAATTTCCATGTGTATTCTTTCCTAAAATTAATTTGCCTTTAGAATTGACTGTGATTGGCTGGTCCTCCTCACCCAACTGGTCTTTTCAAATTGTTTGCTCTTCTAGCTTACAAAAGAAAAATATGCCTCTCACCATCCAGAATCCGAAAATAGTGCATGTTTTCAGGGTACAAAACCTCCAGCACACCAAATGACAGGACAGTTGGAGAATGCACGCCTCCGAAGGAGGCTGTTTTCTAACAGGGCCAGGTGACCTCACAGGAAAATCCCGAGGGCCGAGGGGCCTCACTTCATCCCGGCTGCAGAGCCATATGCAGCCCTGTGCCTCATCTGCTTATCTTTGGTTCTATGTATTAGAATTCAGAAGTGATATGGTTGCCATGAGGACGCATATGGAAACATTAGCTTAAATTGAAAAATTAAATCAAGACTTGTCCAGACAGAAAGTACAGCTGATTTGGCTAGACAACAAAAACTGACTTTGCCAGTTAGATTCTGTGCAGACATTTTCCATATATTGAATGAGCAAAATCTAGTGTTCTAACAAAAAATATATTTATGTAACAGTGAAACAGCAAAAGAACTAACGTAACTAACTCCATTTTTGCTTAAAGGGACTCTACCCATTCATGCACATAGGCTAGGATAATTTTATTGTATCTATTTATTTAGTTTAGTTTTGTTTGGCTTTGTTTTGAGACAGGGTCTCACTCTGTCACCCAGGTTGGAGTGTAGTGGTGCAATCACAGCTCACTGCAGCCTTGACTTCCTAGGCTCAAGCAATGCTCTCACCTCAGCCTCCATTAGCTGAGACTACAGGCACATGCCAACATACTCAGCTAAGTTTCTAAAAACTATGTGTAGAGATGGGGTCTCCCTGTCTTGCCCGCTTGTCTCAAACTCCTAGGCTTGAACAATTCTCCGCCTTGGCCTCCTAAAGCGCTGGGATTATAGGCCCGAGCCACCGTGCCCAGCCTAGGGTAATTTTTAGAGCACTGAGCTAATACACAGAAACAGCAATCATGTAGTTTTTGAAACTAACTCTGGAATTAAAGGAGAAGTACGTAAACAATAACTATGTTTTGTTAAAGATTTATAGGAGGTTGTGACCTGACCAAGAACAAAGAAGTTCCCGATCTCCTGGAACCCTCATTGGTGCCCAGACGTCTGTGGCCATCAGTTACCTCTTGGTTTCAACCACTCCCTCTTCCCCCTGCCCTAAATGTAAAAGGAGCCTGCAATTTGTACTGACTTAAATCAATTTCTACCTTGGAATGCTAGTTCACCACCTTCTTGATTTTTCTGACTTTCCAAACAAACCTGCTTTTCTTCCCACCAACCCTCGTCTCTTGTGTCTGGCTTTCAAGCAGCAAGCAGCTGCAACTGGATTTGGTTACATTTACAGGACATATTTTATACAACATAAAATACAGCAGAAATGAGGTCTTACTAAACTTAATGATAAAACATTTTTAGATGTCAACCTTAAAAAAGTGCAAGTTTTTCAGAATTCCTTAAGAGGGGAAGAAAAGAAAAAGTGCTAAAAATCAGTGTAGAGAAGCAGGCTAGGATGGAGAGGCATTTAGGGCTAGACATGAAGGTGAAGCAGGAAGGGGAGAAGTGGAGGGCAACAGGTCAACTGTGAATGTGGGAACTCCCGCTCAGGGGAAAAGTTAAGGGTCAAAGAGCCAGTAGGAAGGAGGGATTATTAGGAAGGAACAGATATCCAGAGCACAGGCACTTGTTTCTTGCCCTCTGGGAGCTCTGGAAAATTTCAAGCCACTATAACATGGGCTAACCAAAGGGCAGTGGAAACTGTGGCAAAATATTGTCAGGTAGAGAAGGCACTGGACCACCAGGCCTGCCTCTCCACAATCAAGAAATAAATCCTGCTGGGCACAGTGGCTTACACCTGTGGCTTACACAGTGGCTTAATCCCAGCACTTTGGGAGGCAAACGCAGGTGGATTGCTTGAGGCCAGCAGTTCAAGACCAGCCTGGCCAACATAGTGAAGCCCCATCTCTACGAAAAATACGAAAATCAGCTGTGCGTAGTGACACACACCTGTAGTCCTAGCTACTCAGGAGGCTGAGGCATGAGAATTGCTAGAACCTGGGAGGCAGAGGTTGCAGTGAACTGAGATGGTGCCACTGAACTCCAGCCTGGGCAACAGAGCAAGGCTCTGTCTTAAAAGAACAAAAACAAAAAGAAGTCTGGGTGCAGTGGCTCACACCTGTAATCCCAGCACTTTGGGAGGCTGAGGCAGGAGGATCATGAGGTCAGGAGTTCAAGACCAGCCTGACCAACATGGTGAAACCCTGTGTCTACTAAAAATACAAAAGAAATTAGGTGTGATTGAGGAACTGAATTTTAAATTTTGTTTAATTTCCATTAATTTAACCTTAAATTTAAATCACCGCATGTGGCTAATAGCTACTGCACTGAATAGTGCAGTATAATAGTCACAAAAATGAAGTTTCTCTTCTTTTTCATCACAATTATTAGGAAATTGGTTCAAACTGATCATTTTCTGGCTACATACCAATGTTTTCTTCAGATCTTTTACCTTCCAATTCCTGAGGAGACAGGCTTTTATACTGTGCCAATACAATCATTCTCTGGAAAACCAAATGTGTTCCTTTACAGGCGAAGTTTGAGACTCAATCTTAGTCTTCTGGGCATTTGTTTTTTCTTCAACTTTTAAGTTCCAGTGTACATGTGCAGGATGTGAAGGTCTGTTACATAGGGAAATATGTGTCTTGGTGGTTTGCTGCACAGATCAACCCATCACCTAGGTATTAAGGTAATAATGATTAGCTATTAATAGTGAATTAATGCATTAGCTATTCTTCCTGATGCTCTCCCTCCCCCTGCACCCCTGACAGGCCCCAGTGAGTGTTGTGCCCCAGCCTGTGTCCATATGTTCTCATCTTTCCACTCCCACTTACAAGTGAGAACATGTAGCATTTGGTTTTCTGGTCCTGTGTTACTTTGCTAAGGATAATGGCCTCCAGCTCCATCCATGTCCCTGCAAAGGACATGATCTCATTTCTTTTTATGGCTGTGTACTATTTCCTGGTGTATATGTGCCACATTTTATCTATCTGGTCTATCATTGATGGGCATTTGGGTTGATTCCATGTCTGGGTATTATTTATTTATTTAAACTTTTAATTTTCTTTTATTGTGCATGTGATTTTCAAAATTAAATTCAGCTCAGAAGTCACCTTCTCAGCTTTAATAGCTTTAACTTCTAAGTAATATTTTCCGTAAGGTCCCTCCTTTTTCAGGTGATGTTTGATCTTTAGAACTTCTGTACTAGTTATCTATTGTTGTGTAACAAATTATCTCCAAATGTAGTGGTTTAAAACACCAACAGTTATTGTCTCATAGTTTCTGCGGGTCAGGAAGCTGGGCAGCTTAGCTGGGACCCCCACCTCAGGGTCTCCCAGTAGGCTACAATCAAAGTGTCAGCCAGGCTGCAGTCATCCCAAGGCTCCACTGGGGGAGGGGATCTGCTTCCAAGCTCCCTCCTGTGGCTGTTGGTGGCCTTAGGTCCTCACGGACTGTTGACCAGAGATGTCAGTTCCTTGTCATGTAGGCCCCTCCATAGGGCTACTCTTAACATGGCAGCTGGCTATTGCCTGCTGGCTGCCCTCATTTCCTTGCCACTGGTGCCTCTCCGCGAAGCAGCTCACAACATGGCATCTCGCCTCATTAGAGAGAAAGCAAGAAGGGCCAGAAAGAAAGAATGTAACCAAAAAGCCCAGTCTTTTGTAACCTAATCTCACAGATGACATCCCATCACTTTTGCTGCATTTTATTTGTTAGGAGCCAGTCACTATGTGCAGCTCATACTCAAAGTGAGGGGATTACACAAGACCAGAGGGCGAACACCACGAGACAGGGACCATCGAGAGTCATTGGAGAAGCTGCTTTCCACAGCTATTCTAAGGAGCCCTCCTTAAGCTCCCTTCCTAGCTCTTTTATCTGGAACCTTAGCTTCAGGGCCAGATCTACCCAGTCAGAGTGTCAGGGAGTCCAATGTCCCCCAAACCAGACAGTGGCAGAATGAGAACTAGAATCCAAGTCTCCTGGGTTCCTGGTCAGCCCTGTTTTCTGCTGCATGTGATGCTTGGTTAAACCTCCAGCAGAGGCACAAGGAGCCCCACAATGCCAAGCAAAAACATTTTAACTTCAAATAACAGGTGCAAAAGTTTCCCAGGAGGACAATGCTATGACGACAGTGATTTTTAAGAAAGATTAATGTGATGACTATGAGTAACATGAATTGGAAAGACTAGAAATTATATTAACTCCCATTTATTTATAATTAGCATGTATTAATGGCCTAGAGTTTTGTATTCTGTTGTTGTAAAAATATCTAATATGTTTTTAAGTTCTAATAAAATAGTCTATGAAAGCATTACTTGGTCCAAAGCTATATTAAATATTATATATTACAAGGTCTGTAACCAAATTCTATGCTATAACACATGATGTTTTCAAGTGTATGTTGAATTAAACTCTAAAAACTATTTCCCATGAATATATAGGGATTTCCAGAAAAGGATGTTTTCTACTAACATAGGAAGCTCCTGGAAACTCAGGACCCATAAACCCTGAGAAACTACTGTAGACTGAAAAATGTTTTAAAGTATCAGCCTGTGAAGTCTTCACCCCTATCGATATCAACACACAAGGTTGCATTTCAGTAAGATGATGTGGCAGTCTTCTAGTTCCATCAGTACTCACCCTTTCCTTCTCATTTTCATAATACATTTCTTTTCCTTCCTTCCTTCCTCCCTCCCTCCCTCCTTCCCTCTCTGCCTTCCTTCCTTCTTTTCCTCCTTCCTTCCACAGAGTTTCTCTCTTGTTGGCAACGGCACGATCACAGCTCACTGCAACCTCTGTCTTCTGGGTTCAAGTGATTCTCCTGCCTCGGCCTCCTGAATTGTTGGGATTACATGCCTGCACCACCACAGCTGGCTAATTTTGTATTTTTAGTAGAGGGGTTTCTCGATATGGGTCAGTCTGATCTCGAACTCCTGACCTCAGGTGATCCGCCTGCCTTGGCTTCCCAAAGTGCTAGGATTATAGGCGTGAGCCACTGCCCCTGGCCTCATAATACATTTTCTAAAGCTTAGCTGGGCACAAGGCCCATGAAGACTACATTTCCCAACATCCTTTACAGTTGGGTCAGCCACAAGACTAAATTCTGGACAATGGGGTATGAATGGAAATGATGTGAGTCACACCTAGTTGTTTCCTTAAAAGGAAAGGTATGTGCTCCCCTTGCTCCTTCTCCTCTTCTCACTGGTTGGTATGCAGATGTGAAGACTGGAGTTGGGAGTAGCAACCTTTAGTCAGAGATGGAAGCTCCCATAACAGCCTTGTACCATTTATCTCTGCAAACTTCCATGACAGTTATAAACTTCTTTATTGCATAAACCACTGAATCTTGGAATCTGTATATTAGAACAGACTCTATAACTGTACTACTATAAAAACATGTCCACCTTTCCTTTTTCTTGGTTCTCTACACCCTCCTCCCCCAAAATAATGGGCAGTTGCCTAGGCAAAGTGACAATTAAGAGGGAAGTATAGGTCCATATTAAATTCTTACTGTCTTCTCCTGCTTACCTGTGATGCCAGCAGCATCATAATGTCAGCAGCAAACATCTATTGTTTTTTGTTTTTGTTTTGTTGTTTGCTATTTGGCTTTATTCCCCCCTCTTTATTTGCCAATAATTAGAGGAGCAATAGTGTCTTGAGTTCAGACTTGCTAATGTGCCAAGAGCGATTCTGTGTTTTCCTCTCTCAGGTTCAACCAGGGTCAGGGTCTAGGGATCCAACCCATAATGAGCAAATGAATGTTTAACAACTGGCTCTCTAGGGGAAACCCAGCCCTGATTTGCAGTGGTTACCATTTTCTACAGTGTAAATACTCCTGCCATTGACCAATTTCCAGCTAGCAGTATCATGTCACTGAACATAAAGTTGGAAAGAAATGGACACAGTCACCTCTTGCAAGCTGGTATTATTCAGCTCCCAAACATCACTGAGATCTAGCCACCTGCCTCAGCCTGGGACTGCTTCTGATTTCTTTTCTTGGTTATACTCCAGAGGAGGATTTTTAATTTCAGTGATGTGCAGCAGGAACAGTAAAGACAATGTTTGGGATGGCCCTGATGATCTTTGAACTACCCCTGTGGCCTTACTGACATCTGATCTATGATGCTCCTGTAATAACATTTCATCCTTTTGGTTAAAGGCAATGGTTGAAAAATCACCTGCATATTGGAAAAACCTGTGGAGTTTTGAAAACTAGCAATGCCTGAGTTTTAGCATCAGCAATTCTGATTCCATTGATCTGGGTTTGAGAGTGTTGAAAGCAGATGATTTTAATGTGCAGTCGAGGTGGAGAACTATTGGTTTAAAGTAACACATCTCATATATGTGACAGATGGTTGGTGTTATTATTTTTGCTTTAAGCATAAGGAGAAAAAATCTACCTGGCCTGGTGAAAGGGGAAGAAATAAAATGAATGGCAAGGCTGGGATAATTTCCTTAGGGAAAGGTAAGGCTGCAAAGAAGAGGTCTGTACTCTGCCGCATCTTTGAGTCCTGAAAAGAACTTTAAATATTATTTTTTTGAGCCCTTAAAAAGCACTAGTGATTCTTCCTTTTTAGTTAGGAAGTTTAGCGAGCATAGGAAATGGAAGTTCTAGAAAACTGTAATAGACAATTTAGTCATCTCTGCTATATTTTGCATCTATATAAACTGGTATTATTTGTTATGAAATCTAGTTCAATTTCTTTCCCTCTCTATTAAACTTGCGTTTATTCTTAGAGGCAGATGCTACATTTTACTGTGCTAAAAAATCTCTAGACAACTATATCTTGTATTTCTTGAATATTAAGTTAACCTCTGAGGTTGTGATTTGAATTTTACAGATTGATAAAGGTCCTAGTTTACTAGTGAAACATTTTCATGTAGTAATATTTCAAGCAGTAATCCATGTCTATATGTAGACATACAGATGATATAATCAAGATGATAAAGATTTGTTAAGCCTAGCATATGGTAAGTAGAGCAGAAGAGGGTCAGCATGGACGAGCATCAGCGCAGGAAGAGCAGAAAACCTAGTTCTAAGCTTGACGATGTGTAAGTCTGATGTAGTTCCCTCATCTATAAAATGAGGGCATAGAACAAGATGACTTTGGTCCCTTTAACTTTAATATCCTAATAAAGTGTCTCAAGACTGAAACCATTAGTAGTGTCAATGAACCAAGTATCTCATGAGTTATTTCCTCTAGTTGTGGCAGACAGTGACAAACTCTGAAGATGAGTGTGTATTTCTAGACTATCTTTTTCTGAGTTTATATTCCTTCTAGATCAGAGGTTGCAAGTAAGTTTCATTTTCAGGTAGTGGCTTCCCAAAGGGAGGCTGAGGTTTCTGAAGCCAGGACCAAGCTTGATGGGAGTTAAGAGTGCCATGATTAATACGTGGTTATTGTCTTGGGTCTGGAAAGAGGGAAAAACAGTATGTGTGCCCTGTACCTACATCCCTGTTGCCAACCTTTCCATTTAGATCAATATTTCCTTTATCTCCTGTTAGGTACTTTGGAACTGAAAGGAATCTGGGGGGTTCTGTATTCTGGCTACTGTCCACCAGGAAAATTGAATTCATTGTCAAAGTGGTATTGGATCTGAATGTAGTTCAGCAAAGATTTAGCTATTGCATCTTTGACGAGCAGCTTCAATTTAGGTTATAACTCTATAATGTTCAAAACAACCATCAGTGGATTCACTTAACAACTTAATATATTTAAAGGTTTAAAACCCTGTTATTTAATATTGTTTTCGCTAAAAAAAAAAAAATGCTTTTTGATTCTTTTGCTTTTAAGCCAGTCCCATTAGACACAGCCTAAAAGATAGAAATCGTGACCTTCCTTTACTTCCACCTCCTTAGGTCTGGATGGCTGCAGTTTTCTCTTTAGGCCACGTGACACCACAGCATGATCTGGAAAGTAATTAACTACTTTAGAAGTTAATCCAGCATATACTTTGAAGCAGAAGCAATTCCATCCCTAATCGTTGCTTGGCAGATTGATTCCTCCTTCTGGCTCTTGAAACTGTACGTAGTAATTGCCCTGGAATTTAAAAATCATCTGGGGAATTCCTTGTTCCACATTTAGGGCACAAACAACTAATGACTTAGACACGTAGTGTGTGTGTCTGTGTGTGTGTGAGTGAGTGAGAGAGAGAGAGAGAGAGAGAATGTTTCCAAGGGGTGGAAAGGCAATTACTTAAGAATCACTGTGTGGATAAGAAATGTGTCTCTTCCTCATATTCTAAGATCTGAAAATCTCATCTAATCAGATTGTAACACTGAGGTGCCAAACTGGCAAATTCACAAAGTGTTGGAATGTGTTTGGAGAGAGGAACAGTTACAGGAAAGGCGTCTTAGTTGTTCTTGCACCCAGGAACTCTGGTTGCAGAACTGCCTACCTTCATGTTGGTTCTGGTGATGCTGTTATATGTTTGCAAAACAGTGCTGTGACTACTGTCTTCAGACCTGCAATTAGCCAGCTTGTGAACTAACCATTTCTTTCTTCCTTTTTTTTTTTTGGAGATGGAGTCTTGCTCTGTTACCCAGGCTGGAGTGCAGTGGTGCAATCTCAGCTCACTACAACCTCTGCCTCCCAGGTTCAAGCAATTCTCCTGCCTCAGTCTCCCGAGTAGCTGGGACTACAGGCACACACCACCATGCCCAGCTAATTTTTGCATTTTTAGTTGAGACGGGGTTTCACCATGTTGGCCAGGATGGTCTCGAACTCCTGACCTCGTGATCTGCCCTCCTCGGCCTCCCATAGTGCTGGTATTACAGGCCAGAGCCACCGTGCACAGCCCTTTTTATTTTGATCAAAAGATTTTACTTTCACGCTGCCCTCATGTAATCTTCTTTTGTGTCTTGTTTTGGTTTGATGGTTTGACTCTGTAGGGCACATCACCCTTCTGACACTTACCAAGTTCCCTGACATTGAGGCTGTGGTTCAGGCCCTCTTCCATCTTCTCCAAATTGGCAGTCTCATCCAGCACTTGATTCACAAAGAAGTCCTCACTAAATGTGTGTGAATTGACTATCATAATGGTTGTGTTTTGTTTATATTAGCTATTTACACTGTCTCTCTTCAAAAACTGGGTATGGTTCAACTGGAGTTTTCAGCTACCAGCTATCCATCAATCAATATAAATCCCTGATTTGTCAAGCAGACCTCAATATTTTAGTAGTTTGAAATAATTAAAGGTAATTGAACCAGTAAATTACTCCCAGGCCAGAGTTCAGACTGTTTTTTTTTTTTTTTTTTTTTGATGTAAACTTGGCATAATAAGCAACAGTGCAAAGAGACAT